GGCAATGGTGGGACAGAATCTGGAGGAAGTTAGTCCCCGGGTCCCCCGAATCTCAGTGGCCCTGGACTTGGAGGGCGATACTTCTAGGACACTGGCCTCAAGCCCAAAAGTTGTCAACCTTTATCGAAAAAATGTTTTTTTTGGGCCGCAGGGCGATGCTCTGGGGGCTACGGTGGCAGCGCTGTCTTCTTGCTAGGGAAGGGGTGCAGGCAGAGGGGCCTGAATTAAAGGAACAGATACAACAGCTAATCCAAACAGAGATTCTACGGAAATGGCAGGTGCTGAAGAAACAGCTGGACCTCTTCCGCACCAAACAGGATATTAGAAAGGCGATCTCTACCTTTGGGAATGATTGGTTAGGAGGGCAGAGGGGAGGATGGATAGCAAGAATAGAATGGAACGGAGACAAAGAGGATCAGCAACAACAAGAATTGGTTGATTGCAGGGATTACCGCCTTTTTTTCAATGAGTGGACGAACATTGACCCCTCCTTCCCACTTCGCCCCCCGACAGACTTCTCAGACCCCTTTCCACCTCACCCACTCTCGCTAGTCGAAGTAATTTCATAGATCTGGTAYGGAGCCYTTGGATGTTTTGGATGGGGTGGAAGGAAACCTGGTGGCTGGTGCCCCTCCGAAACCAGGACTTCCCCTTCTTGCCCCACCCAGTGTCCAGTCCTCCCCGGATCTGATACAAGCCCGAGGGGGAACTAGTCAGTTCGTTGCGGGATGAAGAGGTGACTCCCTGTTCCTAACAGACCTGCACAGTCRATCCCCTGGAAACAGGGCAATCAATGCTGGCAGGCCTGTTTTTCAGATGGCATGTTATAGTGTAAAAAGGTATCTCCAAAAGGGGGAGGGGCTAGTGTGGAGCAGTTGGCATTTGGCGCCCAATTGAGGGTGAAGAAGCCCCCCCTGTTTTCCTAATACCCTGCTCAGTCAATCCCCTGGGGTCAGGGTAATCAATGCTGGCAGGTCATATCCAGCAGGTGATGCTCCCCACCAATAGATGGAGCCCTTCCCCGGGTGCTAGCAGTATCTGCTCTTATCAGTACGGCTAGCACTGCAGGGGCGGTGTTTTCCAAAAAAAAAAAAAAAAAAAAAAAAAAAGGCTGGAAACTCAAGAGGGACCAGGAGGTCATCGCGGATGTCCGTTCGAAGGGCAGCATGCCTGTTTTGCGATGGTGGCCAGGTCTTTTGGGTGACAACAGCATGTCCGTCTGCCTGGCCAACGGAAAGGAGGTTCTACAGGGCCCGAACACTGAATGGACCAGCGTCTCGGCAACAAGTTTCCAACCAAGGAGTAGCCCCTCCCCCCCACTACCCTCTGGAAGTGGCACGAAATTTCGGCGAAAATGCTGGAAAATGACACATTTCCGACTGGAAACCATGTACAAATGCCAATTTTGACTTTTCCAGTGTGCATTTTCCAAGCGGTGGGGTCTCGGAAAACCGCCCGCAGCAGGTAAATTTGTTTTTTTCCGAAGGCTGTGCTTTTGCCTGTGGGGTTCGGGAAAAGCACTTGCGGCGTGCTTTTTCCGAGATTTTGTCCTGTGGGGTCCAGGCCTAAGTATCATACTGTCATCGGGCCTCAGCTCCACTATTCACCACATGTGCGAAACGAGAATGAATCTTGCGCTAGAACATGGAAAGATACATCACCATATTTTTTGTCTTTGTACATGTTGTGAGTAGTGGAGTGAGGCCCATCATCTCGGCACTTGTAGAAGCTCCACCTGTTGTCCTGCATGAAAACTTGGCATGGAGTGCTTGAAGAAAAGGGCCTTTCAAAATATTATTAAATTGGGTAACTTCCATAGAGTCACAAAAACGAGTTATAATTGCATTATGGGGCAAGATACAGTTTGCAATTGCACTTCGGGCACCCTACCTGGCCAGAAAGCTGGGTTGTGTACATTGCCCAAACTGCAATTCGAAACTGTACATTGGCCCATAGTGCAATTATAACTCATTTTTGTGACTCCCGCGTAAAAAAAAGTAAAAAACTTGCATGTGCCTACCTCTTAGGTGGGACCCTCTCACGTTGGAAAGTGACGACACTGAACGCCAAGCTAGTAGTGGTGCTGATCTGATATTTTGCCTGAAAAATTACTTCTGTGAAGTTCTGTCTACCGCCCACTTCAAAGGAAAAATGGAAAAAATGGCCTCATGTTTTTCATGGTAATGGATTTCCTTGCTTTTTCCCAAAAAAAAAAAAAAAAAAAAAAAAAAAAAGGAAAAACAAAAGAAGGATCTATGGGCCAGGCTACCCTCTTCCCCAGAACACGAAGTCCTGTGATAAGGAATGTATACAAGCTATTTTTCTAGTTCAGTACGTACATGATGACGGTGTGCTGTCTCGGGGGGGAGAACGGAAATAACGTCGACCCTCACGGGGCCCATTAGGCTGACTGACTGGATTTGCTAATGAATAAATCCACCAGTGGAATGTCAGCCTGGAAGAGAGGGGGACAAAGGGGTTGGGCACCTGAGGAGGGGGATCGGGAGGAGAAGGAGAAGTCGTGATGGGTAGGTATCCCTTCTGCTCCAATCAGGTATTGAAGAGAATATAAAGTAAGGAGTAGACACCCAGAGCAACTTGGAGGCCTGTTTGCCGAGACTCTTCTTTTCTCGTCGTGGATTAAAGAAAATCAATGATACCTTCAAAACGGATAGAGAAATCCCCAGAGGTGAGGCATCAACCCCTATGGCATGTCAATAGCCACTGAGAGGCCGCTTTTGTGTCTTTTCCTTTTTTTTGGGGGTACTTTTTTGAGGCAGCTCCTACTGTAACACAGTAAAATTTCCAAAAAAAAGAAAAAAAAAAAAAAAAAAAAAATCCAACTGGAAATCATGATGACGGACACGTCAACACTAGAACATTCCGACAGACAGTGAACTGCTGTGAACTTTTTTCTTTTTACTTTTTTTTAAGCCCAGGGTGTTGTAGAGGCCAAGGACCAGACCCACGGTGATTGCTGGTAGCGGCAGCCAATGGATGTCCTGACAGGATAGGCCACCTACCCTGCCTCCCAGACAAAACTTTCCGTCCGGAAAACTCATCATCTCCATCCCTGCAGAGTTCTCCTAAGAACAAGGGTGCGAGAAGGCAGGCTGTTGCCTTTCTTCTTTTAAAACCCAACCAATTCAATAACCTGTCAAATCTGGACAGGACAGCCTTTCAGGCCTTTTATTATCACTATAGTATTATATGGGGAACCCAAAAGAAGCCACATCTTTGTTCAAGCCTACAGCAAGGGAACATGCGGGAGCTGCACCCACCAGCAGGTGGGATACCTGTTACAGCAGGTTTGGCAATACCAGCCAGGGGTCAGCCGGTAGCGTCAGAGACCATGCCATCTGGACCAATCTCTGTACCTCCACTCCGGTCCCCTCCCTCTACGAACATCCACTAGCGGTTAATGAAAGGCCAAAAATTCGGGGTTTTTCGCCGCGTCACTACAGGCAATGTTGTCGAAACTTTTGCGAACAAACTATGCAGGGTCATAATACAAACATCAAAAAAACAATCAGGCAAAAGGAAAACGAAAAAAACAAACTCAAGAGCACTATAAATCCCTATTCGGAGTAGCTTTCGGAGTTCGCCAAACCTTTTTTCGAGTCTGGTGTTTTTGCTAAGTTTTTTGTTACTGCTTAAAATACGGCGAAACTGGATACAGATATACCCTAAAGCACATGTATAACAGGCAAAAAGAAAAACTGAGAAAAGAGTAAAAATTCAGGGAAATATGACAGTTTCGGTGAAAAATTCACCAACATTCTCCGAATTTTGGGCCTCCATTAACCGCCTCTCAGGAAATTACATCATGAGGCCAATGGGGATTGAACCTATGACCTCCTGAATGCTACAGTAACTTGTGTGCCTAACCAACTGAGGTAGGTCGCTGACTGGAGCTTTCCACGTTCCCTTTTTCTGTAGGGTCCTATCCCTTATGAGACCCCTCCGGGACCCACCCTTCCCTCTTGTCAATGCCTGTTGTACTGGCCTCCCAAAGGCACCATAAAAGATAGGTCTTTGCCATAAATTAGAAGCCTCTTTTTTTTAACCATAAAGGACGTCCTAAGGCTTTTATTATTTTTCAAAACCTTTTTTTTCTTTCTTCTTTTTTTTCAAAAAAACCTGTGACCTCTACTAGAGGGGGTGGTAAGAGCAGCCTCCTCTAGTAACTGTACCTGACAGCCAGCAGAAAAGAGCAGTGAATGTGCTGCGATCCCATGGATCTTGAGGTGTGGCAATCATGATGATGTCTCTCACCTGACAGTGTCTGTTGCACAACTATTTGCAGTAAATGGATGGAGAGAGCAGGAGTGACCTGATAGAGATCCCCATCATGTTGGCCGCCCGACAGTACCAAGACTACTACTACTACTAGCCTAAGGGAAGACATGAAACCAGATCCCAATGGAGTAAGCCATATGTTTGTTTTCTTCCCTTTTAAGAACTTGGCCAGCAAAAAGAAAAAAAACTTGCCTGGCAACATGCATTTGTGAGAGGGGGAGCTATGCTTGCATGGTTCCCCTGTTTAGGCATACTAGGAGTAGTGGTAGGTAGGTAGTAAAAGGTACAATTGAAAGAAAAATATAAGCTTAGTTAAAGTTGTTAAGCCACCACTACCTTTCTCACATATGGGGCCGCGGGCACCATTGATGAAAATTCTTGACGGCAGCCTGGCGGCGATTTTCCCGGAGTAGGCTACAGGATGCTACGTGGCCCAACACTGTGAAAGGTAGCCGTGAATTTTAAAAAAGCAAAAAAAAAAAACTTTGTGGCAGTGATAGCACCAGTGGTTTCGAAAGACGGCCTGCCTGGGTTTAGGAGGTACTGGCGTGCCTGCCTGGGTTTAATACACCAATGATGGAAAAACTGTCAGGGTGCCACAGAAAGACCTCACCCATCGGCGGTCTATGCATGTCCATGAATTGTTTCAGTGACCAACCCCCAGTTAATCGAGCACAGTCCGCTGGGGCAGGTTTGTAAGACCATGGTTGTTGTTGTGCTCATGCTGGCTGCCCTGTGTGTCCTTCTGCGTCGTAAGCGGGGGTGAAGCCCGTGGTGGTAGCCTTGTCCGAAGTGACAACATCATGGATGGCCGCGGATGGGCGTCGGACACACCCGTGTCGGGAGGGCAAGGAAGCCGGTTTCCGAGGCACATGGGGAACGAGAACCTCGGTTTCGAAGCCGAGCTCTCCATGGGACTGTCTTCTATGACGTCGGACTCTGAGAACTGGATTCGTCCTCGCCAGCAGACATCCATGCACAGTCGCTTCCCGGGCACGTACACATCCGGCATGGACGGCTCGACTAGAGTTGTCACAGACCCAGCTCAACGTGCTCATCCTTTAGCTTCGCCAGCGGTGGGTGGAGCTGCATGTGCTCCCGTTCACACAACGCAGATCCAGGGCGGTCCTCGTCCTCAAGCCTTCCAAGGCGCCTCCTTTATGCCTCCCCCGGCTCCCGCGTGTATGCTGCCGCCTTCGGTCGACCGCTTACGGACCGCCGCTGTGGAGAGGGCGTGGTCGAATGTCCGCAATGTTGGGGGTGGTGTCGTCGAAGATGTGGGAGGGGTGCGGCAGGTCGTCAATGCGCCCCCTTCACCTATGGATCAAGGTGAAAGGGACGACCGACGCAGGGGTGAGGAAGCACGTCCGGCGGTAGCGGATGTTCATGTAGGACAACAAGGCTCGTCAGGCGGGAATGGCAACCGCGGTGGACGTGTGGCGGAGAGTGGCAGTGACGTGGACACAGGTGACGACAATGCACGGGTGGATGGAGGCGGTGCACCTGCGAAGAGGCGAACCAGGCCATGGCCGCTCGAGGAACGCCTCGATCTGGCGAGGTTCATGAAGGAAGATGATGCAATGATGACAATGGCGTCTGGTCGACTGAAGCACGCCAGACGGTCGGTGAGGAACGAGTGGGTGTCAAGGAAGATGAGGGAGGCTGGGTGGATACGGTCTGCGGAGGACTGCAGGAAGAAGTGGTCTGAACTCATGGGCAAGATGAAGGACATCCTGCACAAGTGCAAAGCATCAGGGAAGCAGTCGTATTGGGACATGAGCGTCGAAGACAAGAAGAAGGAGGGAATCCCGACGACGTTTGAGCAGCCGCTGTGGGAGGAGATGAAGTGGGCGCACAGAAAGCCATCTGTCACCTGTGACAACACCATGGCATCATCGAACTGCCAGGGTGATGAAAGCGGTGTTTCCTTCTGATAAGGAAACACCGCTTGGCAATGGCTCTTCAGAAGGCGGGGGCCGGAGCAGTGCGACCACCGAAGAAGACGACCGCTTGCGTAAGAAACGGCGTGGGGCGACGGGAAGAGAGCGTGTTGGTGACCGCCCGCCGGTGCTGACTGTGGAGAGGGCTCTGCTAGATTCCAGCATGGCGGTGAATGAAGGGACGGAGAAGGCGGCTGGCACTCTGGCCCGGGCGAGCACAAAGGGTGCGCAGCTGCTGGCGACCCAGGTCAGCGCTGTTGCCAGTGCCATAAAGGAAGGAAATGCAGTGCTGCAAATGTTGGTCGGCGTCATGGCTGACCGGCGGCGAAACGGTAACGGCAATCGGGAAGGAGAACATGGGGACAGCAGCCCCTCCACCTGGTGAAACTCCAGTCGGTGACGACAACAGCGCATGTTGGGCGACGACAGTTGGAGAAGGATAGAAAAAGGGGGGGGGAGGGGGAAGTTGAACTAAACAAAAAAGGGAAAAAAAAATGGAAAAAAAAAAGATTGTGAAAGCAACAAGGGAACGGAGCGATGGAGGCACACCATGACACGAACCGGGGGGGGGGGGG